GGGCGGCAGTCATGGCTGGTGCGGCGGCCAGCGGGAGCATCGCTCCCCGGGAAGCCGAACCGGCCACATGTCTCCCCAGCCCGGGCCGGACGGCAGTCAGGCATGAAGCTCGCCTGGCTGCCGCAGGGCTCTCCGCCGCCCGGCCCCACCTCGGCCCCATCGGTGGCACCTTCCTCGGGCACTTTCAGGGAGCCGCCGCCGCTGCCCTCGTTGCTGCAGGAGAAGGAGACCTTGGGATGCGAGGGCGGCGGGGCTGGCGGCGATCGGGACCCCCCTCGTCGGCACTCCCCGTTGCCGGCGCGGCCGCCCATGGTGCACCCGGCCTTGGCGCCCTCCTCTTAAGACGGCGAAGTGGCTGAGGATGCGGTGGGGGCGGCGGCCAGGCCAGGGGCGGCGACGGGGACCCCGACGATGCTGCAGTGGCTGCCGCCAGAGCCGCTGCCTCCCGTCCTGCTCCTCCTCCCTGCCCGTTTGGCTGACGCAATGGGGCTGCCGCCACTGGAGCCGCTGCCTCCCGTTCTGCTCCCCCTCCCTGCCCCTCCCTGCTTGTTCGGCTGAAGAAGCGATGGGGGTGTGGCCGGGAGCTTCTACCTTCCGTCCTGCTCTCCCCGCCCGTTTGGCGCCATCTGCCTTTCATTCTCTCTCTCTCTCTCTCCTAACCTGGAGGGAGAGGGAGAGAGAAAGAGGAAAGAAAGAGAAGAGAAAGAGAGGAGAGAGGGAAAGAGAAAAAGTGGAAAGAGAAAGAGGAAAGAGAAAGAGGGGAAAGAGAGAGAGAAAGTTAGAGGAAAGAGAGGAAGAGAAGAGAAATAGAGGAAAGAGGAAAGAGAAAGAGAGGAAAGAGGGAAAGAGAAAGAGAAAGAGGAAAGAAAGAGAGAAAGAAAGGAAAGAGGAAAGGAAGAGAAAGAAAGAGAGGAAAGAGAAAGAGAAGAGAGGAAAAAGAGGGAAAGAGAAAGAGAGAAAGAGGGAGAGGAAAGAGAGAAAGAGAAAGGAAAGAGGAAAGAGAAAGGGAGAGGAAAGAGAAAAGAAAGAGAAAGAAAGCAAGAGGGAGAGGAAAGAGAAAAGAGAAAAAAGATTGAGAAAGAGAAAGGAAAGAGAAAGAGAGAAAGGAAAGAGAAAGAGAAGAGAGGAAAGGGAGAGGAAAGAAAGAAGAGAAAGAGAGGAAAGAGAGAGAAAGAGGAAAGAGAAAGAAAAGAGGAAAGAGAGAGGAAAGAGGA